AACTGCTGATTCTTTGTGATCAAATGAAGAAGAAGTCACCTACAATAGCACAGGGAAACCACACAGAACATTTAGCGTGGTTTGTTCATCAAAGGTTTGAAAACAGAAACTCATGTTAAAAAGCCTGTTTGCATTGTGCTTGTATTGTTTTTGTTTCTCTGCTGTTGCCTTGCTGTTCTCCTGATTGCTTAGAAGCTCTATATTTTACATTTTGTTGGTAGTTTCAAATGGTTCAAGACTGAGTTATCTGTCTCATACCTGCCCCACGTGTCTACCAGTATGTGGAGAAAAAATAGTGTACGGGGAAACAGATTTAGATTCTCTTGCATTGTCTTTGGTTTAAGGGTAGGTTCACATTTTTCTCTATCTTTAGAGTCAGTGATTCAAATGTGAGAAGAGTTGTGGAAGGAGGCACTGGAACTGTTGACCTCAGTGATACTGTCTGGGTTAATTTTAAGAGATATTGAGACAGTTTTAGCATTTGTTTAGACAGATATGTTCAACATATATACATTTGATAGCTTTACATCATTTATAAGCGTCACACAATTTTACTTTGTTAGAATGTCCTAAGCCTCCCACTAGTTGCACACAGCGACCTATGATTCTTTCATAGGCCCGATTTACGGACGACATTTTGACATGTCAGAGCAACACAGGTGTAAATAATCAAATTAATGACGGCTGAATTGCATTTAGCTGCTTCAGTTTCAGGATCACACTGTCAATTGAAAATAAAAGAGCCATTGTTAATGTTATAAGTAACACCTGTGCTCTCCCTGCTATAACACATCAAAGTGTCTGCAATGGAAAAAAAAAAGACTTATCGTTCACTCACACATGTAAGAATTGAGAGCCGGAGTGAGTGATTTACTTTCCATTGGACTCTCATTTAATCTGCTCTTTATTCTACGTTTCACGGGAGAAGGGGCTCATTTGCTGACTGGAGAGATGGATGTGGAGATAAAATGGCTGGGCCTGAGACCAAAATTAGAGAGGTGGGACATTTGACCACAAATTGTGATCTGCTCGCGCGCGCACACACACACACACACACACACACACACACACACACACACACACACACACACACACACACACACACACACACACACACACACACACACACACACACACACACACACACACACACACACACACACACACACAACATACAGCTGTCAAAACAAGTTGAGGAATAGAGGCTCTTTTGCACGACTTTTAAGAGGGAAAATTTACATCTGCTTCTTTTGTGCTGTGCGTGTGTGTGTGTGTGCGTTTGGCCAAGTGGCCGTGTCCGGACTGAGCACAGGGAAGATCACTGGAAACATGCTGCACTTTCAGTTTCCACTGAGTTAACACATAGATTCACACAGGCTCTCATACACCCACACTGAAGAGAGTCAGTTACTAATTAAATGAAATGATGTGTCTGTCAGACGAAAGCTTCACAGGTCTGTTTTCCGTTTACAAGTTAAAGAATAAAAATCTCGCCACTGACCAATCCCAGAGTACTCGTCTCTGCAGTATACTCTATTTTGGTAAAGCCCCAACTCAGTGTACTGACTTTCTGTGGAGGGCAGTTCTGTCCTAGTTGGAAAACCATTGGCATAACATAAAACTACGTTCCATGAACCCCAATGACCAGGTTATAATTGATCTAGAGTTCATAGATATTTCACTCCTCACACATCACATAAAAGAAAGCCATACCCTCACCAAACTGCACCCTATACCAAAAAAATGCAAGATGCTGTCAAACACACTGGTAAGAGCAATTCTCACCAGCAGTCCTGTTACTTAAAGAAATAACCATTTTAGAATATGTTTGATTACTTGCTAAAAAAAGTTAAATTCCAACTCTCGTCTGTGTGGTGAATATGTAGCTGGAGCCAGCAGCCAGTTAGCTTAGCTTAGCATAAAAGCTGGAAACAGGTAGCCTGGTTCTAGCAATGTCTGTAAAAACAACAATTCCTCCCAATTAACTGACAACATGTTGTTTGTAACATGCATTATGCAAAACCTCCAAATATTTTACACTCCATACTAACAGGCTATTATAACGATAAAATCCTCACTGTAGATCTAGATTTTACTTTGATTATTGTATGAGAAATATCACTAATTTGTTTTCTCTGCAACTCAAACCTGTAATCATATAACTAGGCTGACAAAATACTTTTATTTTCTGAAAAGTCAGCATTTTGGAGTGATAAGGTTTTCATCTGAAAGCAATAACTGATCACATTCATGCCAGTAGTAAAACCATAATAGGCAGTAAGACAACATTTAAAATGTACCAATTATCCTCTCACATATGACATGTCGTCCTTACGTTCCAACAAACTGACAGTAAAACGTGAGATGCTTTAGTTTAACACACAAGTCGCTTGTTCACCCTCAAATAACTGTGATGAAGGTGTAAACATGTTGTGACTGGTCTTCATTAAACCCTGTTAAATCTGAGTACTCCAGTTACTACAGGTTGCTGTGACGTGACTAAACTCCAGCTGAGGCAACAATCACTTTTATACAATCAGTGTGACAGTCCCCTCTATTTTACTGTACATCTGGCAGCCCTCATATTAAAGGCAATGCATATTTAAACCTTGATAAAGTCCCAGGTTTACTTGCTTAATGCAGTATCACTCCACCCTCAACTGTACTTTTCCTAAATGCTTCGTCAGCTGCTCTTCTTAGCCGCTTTACAGTTCTTGGCTCTTGTTATCTCCTCTGTTGCCAGGTACTCTCTCTCTCTCTCTCTCTCTCTCTCTCTCTCTCTCTCTCTGATATATAAAGCTCCAAACACACATTTACATTCACACACATACTTGTACACACACACAGCAACGTATGAGCTTATAGTGTTGACACTTGCATTTTCCCCCCGTCTGACGCCATGACACTTACAGTATTGATCATTAGGACTTTGTGATGAATGGATGGACTCCACTTTAGCTAATTAATCTGAGCCGCTGCACCTGCACTCAGTCAGTCAACCAGCATTAGAGAGTCGGCTAAAATGTAAACGGTAGGCGAGGGAGGATATTTGAAGGAGGGGAAGGAGGAGAGAAGAGGAAGGAGGATGTAGAGTGTGTTAGGTGTTAAAAGCAATGGTTTGGATGGTTTGTTTGAAGGTGACTGCAATGAAAAAATACCCCCATGATGTACCTCCGGTTTATGAGTTTTTTTTTTGCAGACTGTTTAACAAGCCTTTAGAAAAGGTGACTGGCTGGAGTGTCATCAAAATGGCAGCAGGTTCCCCCCTTGATGTTTTACCTCCACAATAAAAGTCAAAATAAACCACAGAATGTTTCTTTTTTGCATTTTGGCTACAGGTTCCTTTTATAAATGCAGTTCTTTCACTCCACAATATGTATTATTGCTGCAGTAGAGAGGGAAACAATGGTCGACATTGAGAAAGTAGAGTAATAACTACATTATTCTCATAATAATTAGAGATATTAACTACTTTAAAAAGGTCTCACAATAAATATGATCCTCAGCAATCACAATTACATTTCAGATAGCACATAGACGCACAATTAAGCCTAAACCCAAGCAAACAATTTAACCTTGATTTTAAACTTGAACTTAGTTGCCTCTGAACAATTTTAGAATTGGGCTGAAGTTGTGCCAGATGGGGGGGTTTAATGTGCAGTTTGTATTGGGGTCTCAACACCAGATTAATTGCCTGAATGATAAACAATCTGGCTCAGACATTTGGGCCTGTTGTCTTGCATTTTGTGCAATTCGGTGGCTCGATTTTTTTCACCTGGCTGCAGGCAAAAGATCCATTATAAACTGCAGTGAGTTTATTTTAATTTGGCGAAAAAACAAACTTCACTGCATAACAGACCAGAGTTTAGAGTCGATTTATACAAAGTAACACTGACTTTCTCTCTTTTTGTCATCTTTGTTGAGGATGTAGTTGTCTTGTTTGAATAAACTTTATTAAATGGACACAGAGGCGTTCCATACTTCAGCTCAGTGTGAGCCTACACATCATGGCCGGTCAATTGAGCCGGACATTGTGGGCATTAAAGTCCTATTAAAATAATCCAATGTCTAATTTTCCCTTTATTCCTATTTATGTTTTTTTATTTTTCTCTACGTAAAGATCAGGTTCAAGTGCTCATTGTTTCTTTTATCTTTTTCCAAGAATTTCAGCTTTCATATGACACACAGTGCAGTAAGGATTTAGTGTCTCTTTTCTTTTTCTGTTAAGAAAGCAGCTTTGTGAAGAAGATGGAAGATACAAATCTCAGATCAGTTGATAAAACTGAGGAGGATCAATGGCTGAAGTTGTGATTCTATTAGGTGATCTTGAGCAAAGCACAAAGGCGCTCTGTTGTTCCAGTGCGCCACTGTAGTCGTACTGGTTTATACAGTAAGCAGGTTTTGGCATTTATCGGCAACTGCCAGAGAAATTACAGTTTAGTTACAGATGGTGTCTTGCTCAGAGGCACACAAACAGGGAAACACAGACTGCATTTCCTACAGTCACAGAAACTGAGAGACTGTGTGGGAGGATTTTTTTTTTTACATGCCAAACGATTTTTACAATCCAAGTTTTACAGATTTAGGCAATGATCAAGTGTCACGCACTTGGCAGGACAATTGAAGTTATTCTGACCTTCGATATTTACTGATGAAACAAAGATTAACAACATAAAGAGAACTTGAGCAAAACTGTTGCTGGAGAAATGACATTAGCGTGGGTTGGACACTTCTTACTGAGAGCTAGAAATGAGCAGGCAGCAGCACAAACGAGGTAATTTCAGGTAGGCTTGTCAACCACGTTTACTGCAGTCAGGGGATCCCCATGTTTTGAATGTGTAGGAATCTTTATAAGTATAACTCCATCTCACATTACACACACACAGCTCTCACAGCTGATACACATAGAAAGAAAAGTTTGGGATTTTGTCAGATAAACATGATATTATCAACAAGGTCAGACAGCAAGTACAGTAGTTTACAAATCTGTAAACTCCTACCGGATGAGCTTTGCTGAGGTGGTTTCCCACCGTCTGTTAGGATGGGTGATTGTGGTGGAAACTAGCCTGATAGTCCTGTGGTAGAACAATTTCTCAATCCTGCGCCTTTACCCTGCAAAAGAAAGAAAAATCCCCATTTTAACCAGTCAGTTTGTCTGTAATTGAATACTCAAATGGATTCATTCATTGCTAGGGAGTTCTCCACTAAATTATTTCATTTTATTTCTATAGAAAAAAAAAGTCTCCAAGGATGGGTATGAGATCAACTGTCTTGTGTAGGTTTTCCTCAGCTAATTCTAGTCTCAGCTAGTTCCTTAAGTTCACTTAATGTCGCAGGTTTAAGTAAGTCTCAACAATGAAAGTCAGAGCATTCAAAAAAGTAACCTAATAAACACATTAGCACTGTTCAGTGTTAAACCTCTCTAATACCGACAACTACGATTATGTATAAATGAATGGTGTCACACCTGTTTAATATTGTTTTTCCTTCATCTAAACATCCTGTATCAGGACTGAATCATTCACTGCGCTGTTACATGCAGCCATTACACACGCTGTCATTCATACTCATTCAGACAAATGTTTGATCAAACTGTTATTCCTGTTCAAGAACTTCTGCATGTAAAATGTTGCCAGAATTCTCTCTTTGATGTTATCAAATCTTTGGCACAATATGATATCACACACTTTCAGCTGACTCATAAACGTCTCTGTATGATTGGTTCCAAGTTTGTACGGAGGCACACATACACACACAGAGCACGCTCTTATTGAGAAATACCCATTTCCGTGCGGAAATTCAAATCTCACACCGGTGCGTACACACTAGGTATATATCGGAGAGCTACTGCCAAACTGTGTCTATAGCTGAAAAAAATTTTCTCACAAGAAAACTGAATTGACCCCGTTTCCACTGCCTTTTCTATCTGAGATACCAAGATGCCCTCACCGCTGGAATCAATCTTCTCTCACGTGTTAACCACTGAAAGATGCTGGATGACTACATCTTGTTTCATAATTACATGAAACATACATGGCAAATACGGCTATAGGTTTTCTACAGCATCAATATACCCAATGTAAAAAGCCACACAATCCTTAAAATATGTTATTTTTATAACAGAAAAATGTGTTTAATCAGGGCCAATAAACACATCAAAAATTGTGTCGCATGTGTGTTAACAAAACAATTCCTGGAAAAACAAATACATCTGGATCCGCACTACTTCACAAATGGCTTAACTGCCTTTGAAAACTGTAAACACGTTTCCAAGATATCCTACTAACAGGACTGAAAACAAACATATCCTCGACGGTGGTAACATTTTGTGCCGTAAAATTTGTCATATTTTGTAAATAATGTAGTCCAGGAAAACAAAGTTTAACCCCCAAATGTTTCTATATGTTTCATTGCAATGGGAACCCTTGTGTGTGTGTGTGTGTGTGTGTGTGTCTCACAGTAAAAGTTCACTCACCATTCTGCATGTGCTAGTGTAGTGTAGTGTTTGACACATGAGGCAATGTCTGAAAAGCCATCCCACACACATGAGACAGATGCAAAGAGGCCTTTGTGTGGGCAGCGTTTTGACTAAACCTGTAGCCTGTTTGTACATGTGTGTGTATGTGTGTGTGGGGTGTGTGACAGAAAGAAGATCTGATGTGGGTGGTCAACTTTTTCTCATCTCTCATCGTTCCTTTTTAAAGGATATTTATTTAAACTAATTTCAGCGTTATTTATATCCTTTTATATCTTTTCCACTTTCATCTCTAGCGTGCACCTTGAATTTTGAGCTGCAGCAGTGACAGTTTTCCCTCAAGGACTAATAAAAACATCACTCTCAAATCATTTACGCTGCTGTAAAGTGTCTTAAAGTAATAAATAATCATCCCTCATCCTGGCCATGTTTTGCATTGGAACAGCACACGTTCTGCTATTGCACATGCTATCACTACTCCTAAGTCTTATTTTATTTGCATTGCCTTTTATATTAACAGAATATGAACCTCCCACTGTTCCTTCCCCCTCCCTCCCCCCCCCCCCCTCTCTCTCTCTCTCCCTCTTTCTCCCCCCCTCTCTCTCTCTCCCTTCCTTTTTCTCTCTCTCTTTTTTTTTCTCTCTCTCTCTCTTTCTTTCTTTTTTTTACACATGACACATTACATGTCAATAACCTAAACTGAACTGTTATTAAACATATATCCTCAGTTAACCTTCAGCCCAAACCAGAGTTCATATGCTAAATGTATCACATGTTGACAGATGGATTACAAAAGATCTAAATCCCTAAATCATATGTACAAAGGGTATGAACCATCAGTGCGTTTTCACACTGCTGCAGGGTTAGTCAGGGTGATTCATGATGATGGAGAAGAGATAAAGTAAGCAGACTATTGTTCACTTTACACTTGAAAACAGATACCTATAAAAACAGCCAGGGGCAAATCTAAAGAAATATTCACGGGGTGGCAAGTGGGTGGCATGGAGACTTTATGGGTTGGCGGAAATATATGATGATTTAATCGTAAACAATCCCATGGCAATATTTACTTTGAAAAGCCCCCAAATGTAGGCATTTTGACTCAAATATATTACATTATCGTGTCAAATTGAATAGAAATATCTAAAGGTGGCATTAGAAATCAATAAATTGTTTTATTTCCAAATCTTCAGACATTTTTCCAAATACATGTCACTTAGTCTAAAATATGGCCATAACAGAACTTTCAATTACATGTAATTTTAATTTTTTAACACATTTAGTAATTTAATTTATCAAATTAATCTAACTATCTATCTATTAATGTGTTAAAGTTGACATAATTTGACATCAAACTGGGGTGGCAAGACATTTTTTCACCCAACCAACTAAATCTGCCCCTTAAAACATGTATCACGTATTGTAAACATTCATCAGCACGTGACTGTAGCTGAATTTGTTCTTCCTTGCAGTTTTCAATATTTAGATTTTCACACTTGACACTGTTGAAGCGCTCAGCTGTGGTTATTACGCCTCCTTTTTAGAATGATATAAATAACTACACTTATTTTAGTTTATTTATAACTTGCTACATCTTAAAAGTTAATTTTAAAAACTCTATTATTGTCCCCTCCTTTATTAACATCTGTAAAGGTTAAGGTATTCTGCTCAAACTTTAGTATCAAAGTTGACATAAAAGGTACTGAGGCTAAAGTGGCATTATGGCAGTTATTACAACTGTTAATGAAAACTAATGGTAATAATAATAATCTCTACTACAGCACTCATTTTGAGTACTACGACTACTCGTACTACCCCTACTCCAACCACTACTACTAATTCTACAGTACTACACAACACAGTCACACTGCAACAAGTGCTAAAACGCACCCAATAAAAAAGTGCAAATTTATGTGAGACTTATATGCTATAAACAGCAAATCTCAAACTTAACAGAGGTAAAAACATAAAAAATATACAATATAACCAGTCTTGCGAGAGTTACCTGAGAAATGTAAACGATTACTTATTATCAGTCTCTCATCGTAAAAGTAACTGTTACTCGACTAATTACTCAATAGAAAAAGTAATGTTACTCGCTGCACCCACATGTTGCATCTTTTGTATTTAACACATGTAACGTAGACATTGTGGTTTGAAAAGCAACCAGCCACCATCAACAGATTAACACTAACAACTGAAGGCGACATCACTCTCCTGAGTGAAGATGTAGGAATCGAAAAAAATGATTCCTAAATGTAGGCTTACCAGTGGCTAAAGTTAAGGAAACCAGTTAAGAACACACCAGATATAGATTAGGAGGTCCCTGTCAAGGTGTTCCACACTTCTGGTTTCTGCGCCAAGCTACAATACCAATTATTATCTGGTTCCAGGTGCTCAAATGTGCAGATCTGCTTTTCTGTTTTATATAATTTAAACAGATTTTTTTGATTTTGTTTTGATTTTGTGAACTATTCGTCAGACAAAAAAAGGGGACATTTGTAGACGTAAGGCACTCTTCACCTTTTTCTGACATGTATTAGACCAAAAGACAAGTAAAAAATCAACTGATTAATCAATAAAGAAAATAATTATTAGTTGCAGCTGTATAACCTAATCACTCAATTTCAAACTGTAATCCCTTACACTGATGGTTCCATACCTTTTTCTTTTAAAAGGACCCTTTCTCTGTCATTGAGTAACTGACAGCCACTAACTGAGTGATATATTTTATGGATATTTCATACTATGTTCATTGTATAACATTAACAGTCTAGTACACCTGATATACTGTACAATGAACCCAAATAGTGAACACAAATAATTGCAGGAAGTTGGTGCATAACGATGATTACGGTCTGTGAATATTATATCAGAGATGAGTTTTCCTTTTTATACACTTGTACTCTGTATTGTGTTCGGGTTCTTTAGAAAATAACAATTTCATTTAGTTTTCTTCACAGAAATGAATGAAGTGCTGAGATATACTGTAGGTCTGCTGTATTTAAAAAAGAAAGTGTCCTTTGACATCAAGAAGGCCTCGTGACCCCTCGTAAGGTTTTGGCGACCCCTAGTGGGGCTCAAACCGCCCAGATTGGGAACCAGTGCCTTACACTACGATGTCTCTATTTTGACATTAAAAGTGAGCCAATAAATGTTCAATAGTATGAGAGTATCCGATTTAATGAATGTGATTTTGTGGTGTTTATTAGAAGACCGTCTGAGGCTCTCCTGTGATCTCAATCTTTTCACTGACCTTTCACACACACACACACACACACAGAATACACATTCATAAATACATACATACATACATACGGAATGTGACAATAATTCTGTCTTGTAAAACCTGTTTTGGCACATAAACACTCTCTTTGTCAAAAATGGATTTAATATGACTCACTGCACATGGAACCAGAGAGCAGCATTATGGCATTTTGTTATTTTATCTCCTCCAATCCAGCGTAATAAAACAATAACACAAACTACAGCCTCACAAATTACCACACAGCTGAGTCAACCTCCCCAGAGGTTCAAACCAAGCACAAAAGCTTCATGAGGAAAGAATATGTCACAGACATATTTAATTACAAAATGTAATGTTCCTGTTGTCTACTGAATTTTGTGTCAATATAATGTTAGCTTTATATCGTGTCAAAAGAGATATGCATTACCCCAAAGTAGACACCGAGGGGTTGAAGTAATATTGTTCAACTATGTATCCTCTTCCATCGTCATTTTCAGAATGCATGCTACAGTATATGAAGCAAGGGCCACGAGGCGATTAGCTTAGCTTTCCATAAAGACTGTAAGTGGTGGGAAACTTGTTAGCATGGCTCCGTCCAAAGGCAGTAACGGCCAATAAAACCACAAGTTGACAATTTTACTATTTGGTTTTTGTACAAAATGAACAAGCAAGAGTTCTAACCCGAACTTATGCAAACAGGGATGGGATAAAGTCAAGATTTTTCGATTTATTTAGCATAATTTGATGTTTATGCTACTACCGCCTGTATTTTTCATGACAAAGAAATGAAAGATCCCCTCCTGACATGTATTAAGATACAATCTGCTTGGAATAATAATGTGTCTGATGTGTTTTTCCTTTGTAAAAAATGTAGAAAATCAGTAAAAAGTCTTCTACTCCTTTCTTCCGCCTTTAAAAATTCCAGAATCAATGAATATTCAAAGTTTTCCTGTTGGACACAAATGGTAAATGGACCTGTTCTTGTATAGCGCCTTTCTAGTCTTCCGACCACTCAAAGCGCTTTTACACTACGTGCCACATTCACCCTTTGACACATTCACTCAGTGAAGGCAAAGTCCATCGAACAGAAACTAACATTCATACACATTCACACACCGATGCACGGCATTGGGAGCAGTTTGGGGTTCAGTATCTTGCTCAAGGATACTTCGACATGTGGCACCAGGAGCCGGGGGGATCGAACCCACAACCTTCCAATTAAGGAACGACCCGCTCTGCCTCTGAGCCACAGCCGCCCCAGACACAAGATGTCTCCTACTTCACTGTAGTAAGTCCATTCTCAGTGTATGAGCGCTGGTGGATTCAAGTATTTACATCACACTGTATACATTGCAAACTGGATCAGAATGTCTTCTAAACTATTTGTGATGTCACAAATCATGCTGGTAGGCTCCGCCCCCTAAGATCAGTTTTTCAATGAGCACAGGGAAAAATTCAGCAGATGAATGTAAAAACATCTTTCTAGTGTCAAACTCTGCACATACATCATTCTGCACGGTGAAGCTAAAACATCCATTTGTAGGGAGGAGAAGAAGAAGAAGAACTGATTTTTGAGTGGAGGAGGACTTCAAAGTTCTACAAGTTTGGTTTTGTTGCATTTTGAAAATATTCAAAACTAGCAGTCACACAGATGAGAGGCAACTAACCAAAAGTTGATGTGTTTTCATACATGTCCATAAATTCTACCTACACAAAATAGTGTCAAAGGCTGCACTAAAAAGTAACACAAGTGTGTGTTGTTCCAAACGAGACACGTGCTAGAGAGGACACATCCTTTTCACCAGTAATCTGAGGCTGTGAGCGAGCAGAGGCCTCCAGTATAAATAGCATGTTGGCTGGTAAACAAAGCGGCTTCAAAAAGGAAGTGAGAGGTTTAATATCAGTGAGTTGCTGAGGCGGCGGAGCACAGGGAAAATCCAGTCATTATGTTTCAATTCTCAGTATATGCCTTACTGTAGCATGTTTACATTCAGTTGAGGTTCCTATACAGGTCACTGTCAATGTCTACAACAGCAGAGTGATTCCTAGAACAAAAGCTAGCAATGAAGAGCTACCAAACATGTTTCTTATTGTCCTAGGAACCTTTGGCGTTCAACATTGTTGCAAACAAAATCACATACACCTCAGAGCAATAATTCTTGTCTACATACTGTTTACATCTCAGTGTGTTGCCCACATTATCAGCATCACTAAACATCAACAGAGCAGAGAAACTGAAATGAAATGAGCACAGATAAAATATTAGTGTCTCTCTGTTTTGATAGCCCACTCACACCTCTAAGCTTACTTTTGTGCCACTGGTTTTCAGTATCTCTCATCTCAATTGATCGTACATCCACATATTTTAACTTCAAGGTGCTCCAGAGATTTACTGTAGTATTGCGATTACTTGCAAACTTGAGTAACAGGTCAGAAGAAGAACAGTCACTGAATTAACAGAGGCCAAAATCTTAACTTTTAGTCCAACATGGGTCAATTTCCCATAATGCAACGGACTAGTGTCTTTTAGACCCTTCTGAAAAAAAATGTAAAACATTTTGAAATGCATATTTATTGTAAAATAGGTTTGGATTTCTGTCTCTGTCCTCACCAGGCTAAAAACAAACTCAACAGATATTAAAATTAAAATGTCAGAAGAAGCGAGGTCAGCAAACAGCAGCAGTGATGCCACCTTGTCCATAACATATGTGAGAAGTAAACATAAGCTTTTTATCCCCAGATACTTTGGTCTGTATCTCATCACATAATGCCAGATTCAGACTCAGCACAATGTTTCTGTCTGTTAATATGGTCACTGTGTCAGATTAGGCTATTATAGAGTCATACATTCTTGGCGTGACTTGGTTGAGATCCATGACAGACTCCCTGTAGGCGCCCGACCAATTGTAGCTTGCCATTGCTCACGACCTGCATGATGTCATCAGGAAGGACATGCTCTGGACCATCTTCCGGTTGTGATGCTGGATGTCTTGAGTTCAGAAAGGCCTAAAAAAACAAAGAAAAAAATCCTTTTTACTTTACTTAAATTCCTCTGTTACACATTTCCACCCAGCAGCAGCAACAACAACATCGTTCCTCTACGCCATGTTTACACTTGTTTACCAAACGTTGACCAACAGGAGCACAGAACGCTCTTCTGTGCTCCTGTTGGTCAACGTTTGGAAGAAGTCGCAGAAGGCAAAAAATTCCAACACGCTAGTTTTTCTGTTGAGATGAGGCATTCACTATTCCTGAAACAAGGATAACATTAGGAAACAGTATTCAAATAATGGGATCAATGGCTTATGCATCCAGATTGTTAGCTGAATGCAGTTAGTCATAACTATCAATAATGACTTGATTTCTACAGAATTTTTACAGAATATTAACACTTAGAGTTGAATCAGTGTATTAGTCTGTACCTCTATGACGCCAGTCGACAATGCTATATTATAGTGCTCTCATGGTTGCTATGGTTAATAGGTTACAGACAAGTCTTTGGCAGAATACTGGTTGGTAACTTTAAACCCTGTAATCAACATCACTTTACACCCTTGTATGTCAACAATCTAAAATTGACTGACGTGATGTATTACACACACACACCCTGACACACGTGTTAACCTGTATAACTTTAGAATGGTTGTGAAGAGCTCTGTAAATACTGACAGGATGTGTTAATCATTTAACAAGATAGGGTAAAAGATTCTAAGGTGATGTTGTGGGAGTACTTGTCTGTCATATGAACATTTCTACCAAGAAACCTATTCACTATAACAGGACGAAAGTAGAAATTTCCACCTTTGTAAGTGACACTGCACAAAAGTACAAAAGAAAGTGGGAAGAATTGACAGAAAAGGGTTGTAGTCCGCATACTAAAGGATAAAGTTGTCATTTATTCCCAAGAGCCTGAAAAAATACACAACTTTTAACTTCTATTATGTCCTATTATCATTAGGTCCCAGGCTTATAAATACAACAGTCCATAAGCTAAGGTATAAACCAACGATTGTAAATATAAAAGTTAGATTTACATAATTCAAAGTTTTAGCTTCATAATATGATCAAATCTAACAAGTCATCTAGAGTTGTGTAGGGCATACAGTACAGGAAGTATATTGAAAAAGTAAAAAAATATATATACATGTGTTAAATGTCCTTTATTTTAACCCCAATAGTTTTTTAACTGTTGTGTTTTGCTGACATTCACATTACTTCCTCCTTGTTTGGACCTTATGGACTCAATATGTGCAAAAGTAAACTGAAGTAGTAATCCCTCGCTTGCACATTTTATGAATGTGACAGTTTTAACATGTTATAAGTTCAAAATAATGTTTACAAGCAATTTTCCTAAAATCATGAAAAGTTGAGTTGTTTTGACAGTGAGACAGTTTTTTTTTTTTAAATGTTAAAGAGGGCCCAGGGTCTCCAGGACATCGAATGGAATGACAACTTCAACAAAAATGTATATGAACCAACTTCAAAGAGCATATTTGAAATTCTAAATCATAAAAAAGTTAACAACATGGTGGTAAAGCTAAAAAGAAAAAAAAAAGTTATTTCTCTTAGTTCCTGAAAAGTTTACTTATGGGACGTGTGAGGTTTTACTTGACGTCAACAGAGCATCACATCTGTGTTGAGTGAGTCTGTATATATGAATCAGTGACTGCACGGGCTGCAGTAATGGAAGTATCTTGAACAGAGTACAAAATCTTGTCATGGTGCCTCAAACAACGATAAACAGTCTCTGATTTGAATGTGTAAATGTCAGCTGGGACAGACAGATGATGAGCAGCAAGAAGAGGGAACAAGCTCTTTCACACGTCCATGCAAATAAATACACACACAGTGCAGTACACACACACATAAGCTACATGTTAGCACATAACATGTAGTGACAAATATTGTACACAACTGTACACATAAATACACACACAGACAGATGGGTGATAAATTCAAGAAAAAAATCAACATGAAGTGCCTTAGTTAGGTGTTGGTTCAACCCAAGCCTCCAGAACAGCTTCAATGCTGCTTTTGCAAAGATTCTACAAATCAGTGAAATCCTATTGGAGGGAAAATACAAAATAAATAAAATATAGTCCCTCATGGCGGTGGTTAGTAGGTCCACAATCTTGTGAAAGCCATAATGTATGATTCACACGGTTACATTTTTAAACTAAGTGATTTTAATGTGTATGTTTTTCTTTAATTTCACCCATCTATCTGCAGATAAACATGTACATGCATGCACATAATATTGTTAATAATAAATAAAAATATGCACGCATGCACGCACGCACGCACACGCACACAGTCTACATACGGACAAAGAAAAATTATACATGTAAACACCCACACAAACATGCATACATACCTCATACCTACATGTACACAGTCGTACACATACTGTACAAATAAATGCACACCGATACTGTGTACACACACAACTACCAGTGCACACACCTATAGAATCACACAGTGAAAAATAATGTGTACACACACACACACACACACACACACACACACACACACACACACACACACACACACACACACACACACACACACACACACACACACACACACACACAGTGGACAAACTGTATGTTCACACGCATTATAGTAGTAGTAGTTATAATAAATATACTGTACATGCACACACTGTACACGCATAGTCTATAGTACATATATAGAAAAGCACACAAAAATCTTATACTCACAAATACATACACATACACAAGTGGACAGTCGTTCACACATGTAGAAGTAGCAGTAATATTATTATATGTGGAATAATAACATGTACATATGAATACATACCTGTACACACATGTAGCCTAAGTATAGAAAAAGACCAAGGCGCATAAAACAGGGACACACGCCACACAACTGCAGAGGAACACACACTCATACAGTAGAACCACAGTCAGAGAGAAATAAATGTACACATTCACAAACACATATTTAATTATATTACATTCGCACTATATAATTACTGCTAAATATGTTAACTTAATAGCTGTATATATCTTACTGTATTCACTTCACTCAGTTTATTCTGTTAATGCTGTTTATACTGTATATATCCTGCTAGCATATCATATATATATCTATAATGTTATTTTTTATATCCCTGTACATATGCACATTACGCTGCACTTTACCGCTTTTTGCACTGCTGGTTAGATGCTTAACTGCATTCCGTTGTCCTAGTACTTTTACTAGGTTGAATCTAATCTAATCTAACTAGAAGACATACGTCCACACATGTTTTAGTTGAAGGCACACTACTACTACTACTACTAACACTAACACTACTACTATTAATATTGATACTAATACTAACACTACCACTACTACTAATATTGATACTAATACTAACACTACTACTACTACTAATATCAATATTACTACTACTAATGTTGATACTACTACTAACACTACTACTAATAATAATACTAATACTAACACTACTACTACTGCTACTACTACTACTACTAATAATAATAACTTGTACATATACACACACACACATACATGTAGTCTACATATGGACAAAGACATTAAGATAAATACATATAACATATGTAAAAAGACACACACACTGACAAAAATATGTACATGTACTCCCAGAGTCGTAAACATACAGTACTGATGTACTGATGATAAATACAATCTGTCAAATCTGTCAAAAATAAAAGTTCACAAACACATACACAAGTAGAAATTGCTCAAACATATATTAGTGGTGGTAATAAAAAATAAAAAAATACATACATACATGCACACATACTGTACACACACACATGTCTACATACGGACATTATGGATATGACATAAAGAGGAAGATCACAAAATCACAATATATGAAAAAATACACAAACACACACTAATATATATACACTCAGTAGAGTGACATAGACATGTAAAAGACACACAAACACAGTGACAGATATATATAAACACATGCACCCAAATACTGTATGTACATATACACTTGCATCCAACGGGAGAAGAACCCTCATAGAACCACACACACTGTCAGAAATAACACACACACACACACACACACACACACACACACTGTCAGAAATAACACACACACACACACACACACACACACACACACACACACACACACACACACACACACACACACACACACACACACACACACACACACACGTAGACATACAATATGTTCACATACATAGCAGCAGTAATCATATTATATGGGTAATTAGCACATACATATATACACACATTTTGTAAACACACACACACACACACACACACACACGACTGACAAAGACATAAACACAACACACTCAGAGAACCACATGTACACACCATATGTTCCCACACATAGCATAAGCAGTAATATTACGTGTAATAAGTACATGCACACTGGCACACATACTGACACATAACTACAGGAGTACACACACTTCAAAAGAAAGGGGAAAAAAAACAACCACATACACATATCTTTACAGCTATTCAGTACAGTACATGTATACACACATAAACTGCACACATGCATACAAGCACAGACTCATATACACACAACAAGTCTGGGATCAATACATAAGAGTAGCTGCATGAACACACACACACACACACACACACACACACACACACACACACACACACACACACACAATGAACACGTTAGTGAGGTGATTAGTCAAACACTCGCTGATGGCAACAAAGTGATGCCACCCACGGACTCAGGGAACGCAACACTGCTTGACTGAAACCATAAACATGTTTATATTTACTCAGTGTCTCATTTTGGATCAGGGAAACTGAGCAAACAGTGACATTTAATATCTTAAACTAACCAATGTATGCAAGTGTTTTCAGAAAACTCCACAAAGAGAATGATTGGGGATTAAGGATTGAGTCAAATATAATCTATTGTAGTAGATTATATCTATTGTATAGCTTTTTATAATTTCTATAAACAAACAACAAAAAATCGCAATAGTGACAAAAACATTAAC